ACATCCAACAGGGGCTAGATGGAACTCGGCGAAATGCGTCCATATACGCAGAAATAGCCAAAAAATTAAAGGAATGTGGCTATGATTTCACAAGCAAGCAGATTATAAACAAATGCAAGAATCTACGGAGACAATACACTGCAGCAAAGGACGCTAACAACAAGTCCGGAAACCCCCCTTCAGAGTGGGTGTACTTCGAGGAGATGGATAAGATTTTTTTTTGCATCAGAAACAAAATTAACAGAAATTCGTGTTCCTCCATTCTGTTGGTACTTACTTAATCGTTGACAATCGTTAAATAAAATAACCAGTGAAGTAAAAACAAAATTGGATTACGAGAAAAAATAATATCGGAATATAAAAGACAATCGATTAACAACAGTAAACTATCCACTCCTTCAAAACAAACCGCGCGAATTGAGCGGAAGTACGATCTGACCCTTTATCCCAGAACACATTGCGCTATATGATACTTTGGCGTGTTAGCCCTTGTAATGGTGTGTTGTATAAACGCCGACGTTTGGAGGATCGTCTCGGCTAGCGTAAACACATTCAAGGACGTGAATCCGTGTTCATATTTAGTGTGTAGTATAAACACAGCCATAGTTTATGTTGAGGATCTTAATGTTTGTCTTATGCATTGCCACCTGTGTGAGTAGGACAGGAATATATTGGCAAACCCTATCTCATGTGCCTAAAATATTTGTTTTTAAGTAAAATAAACCATACTTCTATAAAATGGAAAAAAAAGTATTTTTGTAATTAAATATTGAATCTGTAGCCACATTTCGGTTAAGGTATGTGGATTTGGAATATTTCTATACTATTGGGAATGTCTAGAAAAGAACCATTTTGCTATTAGAACACCTGTTTTTTTTTTTTTTCCAATCTTTCACATAACAAATGTTAAAATTCTTTACATAACTTTTATTCCACAACCTTTTTCAATATTGTTATTCATTATTTCGATCTTTTATTAGATCATCATCAATATAATCGATAAAATTTGAATATCTTAATAATTAAGTTTCTTGATACATCCCACGCCTTGTTCTCCCACTCCTCCTCTACCGTTGCTATGGGATTGTATGGGGTAGGTAAAAGACTTGTTGTGAGTGAGGAGTGGAGAAGACATCGCAGCACACTGCACAGGCTGGTACCAACACCACGGAAAGAGAGATCAAGTTTGGCTACAGAATTAGAGCTTCAATTTAGTCCTAATATTTTTCATACATAGCTTTACAACAGTTAAATTCTTAGTGTCGTTTTTGAAGCAAAAGAAGTTAGAAAAACTTAACAGGAATTACTTAGCGATAAGAGACATTTAAGCATTAACAATAGATTAAAATAGTTTAGACTCTGAGATGGATATCAGCTGGCTTTGCATTCCTGGAAACGTCGCTACAGAACAAGTTATAAAGCCAGTCAGGTAACTGAGTAGCTACTTACAATGTAGTTGCCTAACATTTTGTAACCTACATCAATGAACCCTGTGTTTTATCACTGGCGGATGTGCAGAGAGATAATCATTTGAAACAAGTATTTGGAGACTAGATGTATTTGGTGTTGTACAAGTACTTGGTTACATACTGAGTATTCAACACAAATAATATGCCAGGTTGGAGAAAACTTTCCTATTATAATTTTTTTTATTAATTATTTTTTTATTGTATCATGTTACTCTAGTTTAGTGATTTAGGTTTATTTAAAATTTAATTAAAAAGTAATACATTACTATAATGACGTTTAAATTTGCTGCTAACGGTGTATGCAAAATGTATTGGAATCGTATTTTTCAAGCGTCTGATAATTGGCACGTTCATGTATAGGTAGTAGGGTGGTGAAAATTATTTAGAATAGTTTAAGATGGAAACAACTCTACGTGCTATATAATTTATTTGTATATTTGTACATATTAATCGTTCTCAAATTTTATGATATATTTTCTGTGTGGTTTCTTATTGTTTTTTTTTAATTTTTATTTTAGACGGCCCAATGATCAGCTTTGTTCCAATGATCAGCTTTTCTAAACAGTCTACCCTCTTACAATATCGTTTAATAAATTCCAATATTTGCATTTGTAGCAGATGATGCAAAATAATTACCTCTGCCGACATATAGGTAACTCTAGGGAATAACCAATAAATGGATTGGTCTATAGGTGGCAGTATATCTTGAACATCTTTAGTAAAAATCTGTTTATTAGGGAAAAAATGTTTTGACCTGTGATAAAAGTATTAAATTTAAATTCTTCTAAATGATATGTAGTATTTTAAAAGTTGATGATTATTTTACTATAAATAACAGTTGTACATCTTTATTGAAATTGACATAGGGCCTAAATGATGCTGGTAAACATTGTTGAGATTAGTTCTAACTAGCTATCCAATATGTCAAAAAGACATGACCTATCGAAAAACCTTTGTTGCAAAGATACTTGAAAGAGCTCTATTAAAGGTAAGTAGATAAATCAGGGATAGTACAGAAATTATCGATTAAAAGGCTGTGTGTGAAGGAAGTGTTGAGGCAATTTTCATTGTTCTATTTATCTCTGAAGCTGAATAGATTTTACTTCTGCAGGTGATCACCATCCTCTTTAGACTCGGTTTAAAAACACTTCGCAATTCACGGATGCATTTTCCTCAATGTGTGTGTCGGCCTTCAGTAAGGTAAAAAAAAAAATATACTTGTTTAGCGTCACCGCCCCCGACCCTGATTTTCTAGCCGCGCCTCTTTTTTTTTTCTTTTTTTGTTAAAAAAATAATGAAAATCGACTAAAAAATGGCAAGGAATTCCTATAATATAGCAATGCTGTTGTAAATGTACTAAAGAACGATGAAATAGTGCAAGTACCAGTTAACTATTAAGTTAAGGTTTTTATCATCAATCATCGTGTACTTTTCTTCCCTTGGGACAAGGGAGATCCCCCCTGATTCCCACTGTCATAGCAACTACATTGAGGTTTAGTATGTCCAAAGTATTGTAGTTTGCCATTCTGCAGGAATGTGCATTAGCGAGTCTGAATTATCGTGAGGCTGATTGCAACATCTGTACTTGGTTGTTCATGTCCTTCCTGTTTTGATATCATTAATTACTGTATCTCTTCTCTTCTTCACATGCAAATAATCTAACTCGGAGAGACTATTTTACAGTACTAAATGATCACAAATTTA